CATACAAGACCTTTCGAATGCTTTAACGTTCCACTTCCTTTTCTTTCATATTCTTATCTGGACTTTTAATTTACCTCTTTAATTTCCTCAGTTAGTCACTTCATCATTATTAGTATTATTATTTTACAAATAATGCTCATTTAGATTTACTTGTGTGCTTACTGATTTCTGATTACCGCTGCATCTTGTATTCCATTTTATTCCTTTCTTTTTGATTTAATATATTTTCCCTAAAGCACATCCTTTCATAATTGTTTCAGCAAGGTCTGTAAATGCTCTATTTTCTCTGGCCTTATTTATTGGAGAAATGTCTTTATAGTGCCCTCACATTAAATGATAACTAGATACAAAAACCTAGATTGACATTCACCTCCCTTCAGCATTTTGCAGGTAAAATTCCAGTAGCTTCTGGCCATCATTTTGCTGTGGAGAAATTTGCTTTAGGCATACTTACTGTTTCTTTTTTGGGTCATTTCATTTCTTTCACACTTTGCTTCTAGTATACTGCAGTTTCTCCAAGATGTGCTTTGGTGTCTATTTTTGTTTTAATCTTTAATGCTTATTGGATTCTTGAATCTAAGTTTTCATATTTTTGAAACATTTTGGAAAATTGTCTATCATTAATTATTTAATTTTATTTATATATATATAGTGTGTGTTTTTTTGAGGAAGATTAGCCCTGAGCTAACATCCACTTCTAATCCTCCTCTTTTTTGCGGAGGAAGATTGGCCCTGAGCTAATGTCTGTGCTCATCTTCCTTTATTTTGCGTGTGGGATGCCTGCCACAGCATGGCTTGATAAGCGGTACGTAGGTCCGTGCCCAGGATCCAAACCAGCGAACCCTGGGCCACCGAATTGGAGCACGTGAACTTAACCACTATGCCACCAGGCCAGCCCTAATGATATATTTTTAAAAACAATCTCAGACTTACAGATAAGTAGTAGGTATGGTTCACAGAACTGTTTACCTGAAAATTATTTGAGTAAGTTGCGAATTTGTTACCTCATCTTTTCAGAATACTTTATGTTTCCCAGAACAAAAGCATTCTCCTACACAATCACAATAAATCCTTAAAGTTAGGAAATTAACATTGATATATTACTTCCATACAGTCCCTATACCCCAATCAAGTTTTTTCCACTTACACCAATAATATCAGTTATAGCAAAAGAATCCAGTCTAGAATCACATGTTGCATTTAGTTGTCACGTCTCCTGAGTTTCCTTTAGTTGGAGTAGTTTCTCAGTCTTCCTTTAACTTTCATGACCTTGACATGTTAGAAGATTACAGGCCAGTTATTTTGTAGAGAGTCCTTCAATTTGTATTTGTCATGATTAGATCCAGGTCATGCATCTTTGGCAGAAATATTGCAGAAATGATGTTGTGTTCTTCTCATTGCATCCTATCACGTGGCACATGAATTTGCTTTGTCCTATCACTGGTGGCTAACTTTCATCACTTGATTAAGGAGGTATCTGCAAGGATTTTCCACTGTAAAGTTACTCTTTTCCCTTTTGTAATTAGTAATTATCAGTGTGAACTCATGGTTTCCTATTTTATTCAAGGAGTTATAATCTATTCCTCACATTATTTATTTTAATGCTCACGTTGTCCATAATTTGCCAGTGGGAGCCTCTTCAAGTTGGCTCCCATGTCTTTTTGCTGTGTCTCCCTCATTCATAGAGCACTTCCTTGCTTTCAACAACATGTTCCAGTATCATCTTGTGTTTTCCCTGCTTCACGCCTGGAATCAACTAACTTCCCAAGAAACCCTGGTTCCTCTTATAGAGAATAGTGTGTAGAAGATGGTAAGTGAGCTCATTGCCATTGCTGCTGCCCCTCAGCCCTCAGCAAACAGAAATAAGAAATGTGTGTGTTTGTGTCTGTTTACATCTACGTTTATTTCACACCAAGACCTCTGATTCCACTCCAACACCACAGGGATCATTCTAGTTTTCTTCCTTTCTATATTTCTGACTCCCTTTTCTCATGGTAAGAAATCTGGTTCCTGTTATCCTAGTAATATCTTACTTATTTGATCATTTACCCTTTATGCAGCCAATTTTCTGCTGCCCTGTCCTCTATATGCATGCCCTCCTGATCATTATATATCTTCATCATCCCTTGTGAAGCTGTTCACTGACCCCATGTGTGACTACCCTGCAGCCCCCCTGTGTTCCCTCATTATGTCTGGTTATACTTTTGGGCAGTAGCCCTCCTTACCCCTCCATGATGTGCTGAACTTTCCCCAACATGCACACCTTTCTTATCTTCTCTGGGCTGCAGCACTCTATGCCTGGCCATCCTTGTAAATGAACGTCTTCCTCACTCTGCCCAGCCTCTGACCTCTTTGCCTATACCTCCCTCCCCAAGATGAACACCATCATTCTCTGCTTGGGCTCTAGCACTCCACACTGGATCTCTCTTCCGTATGAATATGCTTCCCACCCTACACAGGCACTGACCTCCCACACCAGGGTCCCTTCCTTTGCCATCCTCATCCCTTTTAGGCTCATGACAACCCTTGTTGAGGCAGCTCATTGTGTGAACTCCTTCCTTACCTTGCTCAGGCTCCAACACTCAGTACAAGACAGGCTTGCACACTATATTCCTCTTCACTCTGCCTGGGCTCTGCAACTCACATGGAACTGCCCCATGTGTGAACACCCTATTCACTCTCCCTGGGCTCTGACTCCACATGCATCTGCTATAAGGATGCCCTCTTTATGCAGTTTGACCTCCCACGCCCTACTCATGCCCTCTCTACCTGATAGTTTTAGGACTGAAATAGCCAGAAAGAGAGAGTTCTACCTTTTTTTGGAGCTTATGTTAGATAAATGTTGTGTTATCATTTTATCATCTATAGCTCTTAACATCCTGATTAATATTAATTTCTCTGATTTTTTTCATTCATTTTCTAATTCTTTTCCATTTCTTGCTGCATTCTGTGTAATTTCTTGAGAATTCTCTTTAAATCTATTGATTCTTCACTTGAGTCTATTCTGATTTATCCTATTAATTGACATTTGTTATATTCCAATGATTATATTTTATTTCTAAAGGTAGTATTGTTTCTTTTAAAATTTTGCCTGTTTATTTTTTTATAGGCTGTCTTTTTTCTTAGGGTTTTAAATTTCTTTGTCTCTTTGATAGTTTATAATAAATTTAATATATTCGTTCTTCTTTTGCAATGTGTTTTTAGATTGTTTTCTTATCATTATTTCCTGGAATACTAATTGCTCTTTTTGCTCTGGTTTATTATTTCCTGAATGTTTTTTCATTTTTAATTGTGAGCTTATTTGTCACTGGGGTTGTTTGTTTCTGTGGAAATCATATGCAATCTTGGTTGTGGAAGTGTCTTCCAAAATGCTTTCTTTTTTTTAAACAGCTTTATTAAAATATAATTGACATGCAATATGTTTGTTTGTATATACAAATATATGTATGTATATATTTATATATAGGTATTGAAAATGTACATTTGATGAGGTTGTGTGTGTGTGTGTGAGGAAGATTGGCCTTGAGCTAACATCTGTTTCCAGTCCTCCTCTTTCTCCTTGAGCAAGATTGTCTCTGAGCCCACATCTGTGCCAATCTTCCTCCACTTTATGTGGGATGCTGCCAAGGCACGGCCTGACTAGCAGGGCTAGGTTCACACTCGGGATCTGAATGCACCAACTCTGGGCCACCAAAGCAGAGCATGCAAACTTAACCACCATGCCACTATACCACCGGGCTGGCCCCTCTTTGACATTTTTTAATGACATTAATGTCATATATACTTAGAGGAGAAAATTTACTGATTTATTCTAAGGACTTAAAGTGTTATTCATCCCCAAATTATTTGTATTTCAGAAAATAATGCCTATTTGGAGAACATTTAACTCAATGGTTCAAAAATGTAATGCTCATATTACTGGGTTATATTTCAGATTATTTTGGGTGGTGCACAGGCAAGCAGTTTTTGGTAATTATGTGTTCATTTTAACCCTTGTAACTAGCAAATGAAGGTAGTGATTTTTCTAAAAGTATTGTTTAGGAAGATACCAAATATAAATATAAAAATAAAAATTATTATTATAAATAGCAAAGGTATAACATGAATATAGCAGAAATCATAACAGTCTTATATGAATCTTTGAAGACTAGGAAACGTTTTTGGAATAGATTTACTTTTTTTTTTTTTTAAAGATTTTATTTTTCCTTTTTCTCCCAAAGCCCCCCGATACATAGTTGGGTATTTTTAGTTGTGGATCCTTCTTGTTGTGGCATGTGGGATGCCGCCTCAGCATGGCTTGATGAGCAGTGCCAGGTCCGTGCCCAGGATTCAAACCGGTGAAACTCTGGGCCGCCTAAGCAGAGGGCACAAACTTAACCATTTGGCCATGGGGTCAGCCCCCTAGATTTACTTTTTAATAGCAAAGTTCAGATATTTGTTATCTAGATGAGGTGACATTTATGGAGAGAGAGTTTGCAAAGCTGTCTTCAAATTATAGTGTGTAGACAGCTCTATTCTGTAGAATAGAATATTATATTCTATATACAGAGTACGACAGCTTATAAGAATATATACAGAATATGACAGCTTTCTGTATACAGAATATAATATTCTATAGGATGTAGAATATTCATATTCTGCTACAATTCATATGCATATCAATAGTAGAATATTCATATTCTACTGTGGGTGGCAACCACCCACAGTAAGAGCTTAGGGAAGAGTGGATAGACTATTCCTAGCCTTCTCTTCATCAGCATCAATAATCAAGAATTGGAATAAAAGTTATTCCTCTTTGATGGATTAACACTGAGCATGGTCATTTCAATGTCTGAAGACTACCTTCTCCTCTAACTGATGGGGAAGCGCCCCACTCCATAGCTCTGGGAGAAAATGTTGTTAAAGTTTATGTCATCATAAATCCACCTTGTGATATGACCAGTTCCCCCAAATTTAAGAATGATGACTGTGTATACCTCTTCCCTCCTCTGTGTGTCCAGGATTCATTCAACATGAGGCCCTCCTTGCAGGCAGTGGCACTCTGGGGGAGGAAGGCCCCTCCACACAGCATCACTGCAATCATGATCACCGATGACCAGCAGACGGTTGTAACTGGGAGTCAAGAGGGGCAGCTTTGTCTCTGGAATCTCTCACCTGAACTAAAGGTTAGTGGAAACTATTCATATTGAAAAAGACAATGCTCACAAAATAAGCACAGCTTGCTTCTTCTACCTGCAGTGACAGTGGAAGTTTGCGTGATTGTTAAAAAGATGCTTACTGAAGTAGTAGATTGGTTTTAATTCTGAATTTGGGGAAAATTAAGTGTTATATGGTGGATCAAGATCATATTGGAAAATTATATTATGAGTATTGCTAATCTTAGCTACCAGCTAAGTGTTATCACCCTTTAAGCTATGCTGAGTTTTACTGTTTTATATCCTGAATTATATGCTTAAGTAACTGAACTACAGACATGTAAGTATAATTCTAAAAATTATGGCTCATTAATCTAAACAAAGGGCATCCTTGAAAACCACTATTAAATAAATGAGTAATATCTTAATTATCTGGGTGTTTCTGTCGGTTTGGCCTTCTTGCGATTCTTTTAGTCTCTGCTTGCCTGTGATTTTTTACAGATCACATCAAAAAGCTCTAAATCCAATTTACTATTGTCATCCTCCTATTTCAGAACCTGACCTCACCTAGGATTTGGCCCATTGATTAGCAATTAATTGTCCCTGTCCCAAGTCATAAACATTTAACATATTGGAATAGATATTTGCTTAGCTCCAGCAGCCTCTAGACCCAATTTGAACATTTAAACTAATGACGTACTTAAAGTATACTGCCCTCATTAAGAAGCCTTTTAAAGATCAAAGACTATTTTTAGCCTTTAAAGTTTGTCACTTTAAAACCTAAATTAACAATTAATTGTAATTCTATTTTATAGAGTAATTAATTAACATCTCCCTTCACTGAACAGCTACACTGCAGGACTGCCAAGAAGTGCATGGCAGACCAGCTCAGCTCAATGTTTATGAACATTCCTGAAAGAAGGAACTGGCATTATTGCAACAATTGAGCTTTGAAAATTGGCCTTCACATTTATTATCTCTTATAGTTTAACTCAGACTCCTAAATTACTTGAAATGTCTAAACTACTTTTAATGTTGAAGTGTAGTGTTTTCTGGCTGGGGTAATTGTCTTGTCATATGTAAATTACTATAAGCTTAAGAAATCTGGAATCCTAGCATCTCTATCTTTTCACATATGTTCCTGGAATTTATTCAGCATGCATTTATTGAGTGCATAAGTTAGGCATTATGCTAGGTACCTGAGTTCAGACATGAATAGGAAGACTTTGTGCTGGCTGCCCAAGATATTGCATTATAGTAGAGGACAGACATAGGCTAATGAGGTGCAGTTATGTTATAATACAACATATTCTAAATAGGGAGTAGTCTACACTGCATCTTTAGTGGGAGAAGTTATGCCACGCTTTTCTTAGGAGCAAGTCTTTCGCTTGGGATTAGAGATTCTTAACAGAGAGCGAAATTGACCCACAAGAGACATTTGGTACCATCTACAGATAATTTTGGTTGTCACAGCTAGAGGAAGGGGGATGCTACCGGCATCTAGTGAGTAGGGGCCAGGGATGCTTTAAACATCCTATACTGCACATGAGACCCCTTCACAACAAAGAATTATCCCATCCAAAATAGCAATAGTGCCAATATTGAGAAATCCATAGTAGATATAGGAGGGGAATGGGAATCAGATCAGCTGGGGTGGGAAAAAATAAGGAGAACCATTGAAGAGATTTTAGTAGGGGATTGGATCACCTTTATGTTTTGGAAATTCACTGTCAGGACATTGTGAGAAAGTTAATAACATAAATGTGAGACCAATTAATATGAATGTGAGATTTTCGACGTGCGAGTTTTCCTTCACATTTTCTGTGGCTAACCATACGATCAGAAAGAATGAACATTTTCTCTGATTTTTCCTAAGAATCTCACCCCTACATGACAACAGATCAACTATTAGCAGGGAACACTCTAGGCTTTTCAAAAATCAAGGGCATTTTTAAATCTCAACCAATCTTGCTACCTGTAAGGCAGTCAAGTGAGTGGTCCATCATTAATATTTTAATGCTTGGTAGTTTAATTTGATTTTTATTAAAAAATTTTTATATATAAAGGAATAATTTGGACAGAGGAAGAAAAGGGAGGGCTTTGAGGACATGAGAGATTGTAGCTGTAGGGCATGCTAAAGCCAGTGGACATATCAGGGGGAGGACAGCAGGAAGGGAAGAAGAAAGTTACAAGGAGGGGGTGTAAAGTGACCTGGAAGCCATTTATTTCCTCTTCATACTAAATTTGGAAAGCTCCATCTCCCGTCCGAAACGATTTAGGTAAGACAATACATCATGTTCTGTGGTCTTAAATACTCACTTGCCATCATATAAAGTGGAAAAACAAACCTGAGGACACTTACTTAGGGAGTCATTAGACAAATTACACAGATGCTTTTTGTTCTAGGCACAGATCTCTCTTTTGAGTTTCTCAGTCTAGTGTGGAAGACAGGCTTCTAAATAGGAAGTTGTAGAGCAGTGGGATACCTCCTGTCTCTGTGAAGTTGACTACTCTATGTATCTCATATAAGTAGAATCATACAGTATGTATCCTTTTGTGACTGGCTTATTTCACTTAGCCTGGCGTCCTCAAGGTTTATCCATGTTGTGGCATGTGTCAGAATTTCCTTTTAGGGCTGAATAATATTCCCTTGTATGTACATACCACATTTTGTTTATCCATTCATCCATCAATGGACATTGAGTTGCTTCCAGCTTTTGACTATTGTGAATGATGCTGCTATGAACCTGTATGTACAAACATCTGTTTGAGTCACTACTTGTACTTCTTTGGTGTGTATACCTAGAAGTCAGATTGCTAGGTCACATGGTAGTTCTATTTTAAATTTTTTGAGGAGCTGCCAAACTGTTTTCCATAGCAGCTGCACCATTTTACATTCTCACCAGCAGAGTACAAGGGTTCCCTTTTCTCCACATCCTCATCAACATTGCTATTTCCTTTTAGTTAGTTTGATTTTTGTTTTATAATAGCCATCCTCTCATTCTGAAGTGGTATCTCATTGTGCTTTTGAAGTCTTTCTGAGGGTGATGCTTGAGTTGAGTCCTAAAGGATGCACAGGACTTGAACAGGAAAAGAAGGTGGGAGAAGATTGCAGACAGAGAATGATAAGTGTGTGTGAAAGGCATGAATATTTTGCCTTCAGGGAACTGGTAAAAGTAGTTGAGTAGACCTGGAACATGGTAAGTTAGTGGTGATAGGCACATCTGGAAAGGACAGAGCAGACTCAACATGGAATCTGACATGCTGAGGGGTTTAGATTTTTTTAAAAAACTAGCAAGAGCTAATCCTACATCCTAATTAAAAGCAGTGGTGATATTAAGGGATTTTGAGGATGTTGTATGAGAGGAGATGACATGATACTGTTTCATTATATTTGTAATATAGAACATCACTTGGTATTAATGTGAAGGGCATATTGAAGGGAGGTGGAGATGGGACTATGGGCAGGAGGCTTCTGTAGTTATTTAGTCAGGAAGTTTTTGAACATGAATCAGATCAGTGGAAATTGAAATGATGAGGAGATGAAACCTGGAAAGATGTTAGAAAAACAGAATGGACAGAACTGAGCCACCAGTTGGATTCAAGGTAAAGGAGCAGGAACAGTCGAGGATACGTTCCAGATTTGGGGTTGGGTGATGGGTGGGACTGGTGGGATGATGGTATTATGTATTTGTATAATGATTAGGAATGGAGAGGGAAAGATGATGATTTAAGTTCTGGATATCTTGGAGTATCCTAGTATTCATTAGGGGCTTGGGTACACATCTTACTCTTTCCCTGTCCATGGGTGGTAGGATGGCAGGGTGCAGGGGAGCTGGAGAACAAGTGTTTCCTCATCCTGGGCTTCCCATCACATGCCTATATTATGCATGCTATTTCCAGGCTCTGAGTCTGACTCCCAGAGCCCTCTGGTTTCCCCAGAGCTTTGAGAGGTCCACTAATGAGATGCTTCTCCAAGTCCCATGCTAGGAACTTCCTTACCTGGGTTTCCTGGTATTGATTGCTGGTATTCATCACACCTTTAAGCATAGAAAAAGGTGACTTGAACATCCTCTCAGATATATTCCCTTAGTTTTGGTATATTTTGTTTTTCTGCCTGTTTAGTACTCAGAAGGCAACACAACAATGACGAAATGAAGAATAGCAATGTTGTGTAGAAAGAAAAAATATAAATCTGGGTAAAGTTCTAGCTCCAATATTTACCAACTCTGCGATATTGGGCAAATGCCTTATATCCTTTGAACCTCAATTTCCTCACCTGTGAAAGGGAGACTGAACACTGTTCATAGTTGTACCAGTGTTTGGAATATGGTCGTAAACACTTGTCAACTTATGCATTCTTTCCCCTCTCTCAATGTGCTGTTAGAAGTACCTCGGGCGGGCATAAGGGGGGACAAATGCTTCTAGAGGTAGAGACAATGAATAGAAGTAAAGGTCTCCTGGATGTCGTCATGACAATGACTCGGTGTTATTGTAGAATTTTTTTGTTATTCTTTGCAGCTGTTCTAGAATGTGATAAAATGAGGAGAGATTATAGTGAATTGTAACAGCTTCAACTGTTCATGTAGCTTCAACTACACATAGGGATTTAGCAGAATGAGGACTTCATATGAAAGGCATTGGTGTTCCATTCTGACATTTTGTTCATAGTGGATTTTCTCTGGAGGAGGGAATGTCCTTGAGGAGCACTCATTCATTGTTTAATTTGGCCTGTATATATTGGAATGGGGTTAAATTCATAGGGGTATGCATTTCCAAGTGTGATGATGGGGAAAGATATTATGTTGTTTTCTGAGATGGAACCTTCTGAGTTTCCCAGGAAAAAGGGAGAGAGTCAGAACTTGGGTTGTAAGTGATTCTAACCAAGTACAAAACCCTCTTTGTAGCACTAGAAATTTAGTCTGACAACAGACCTTTTAAAGAAATATTTCTGATTATGATAGAAATAAGATGAAGGCAGAGAACAATTATCATATGAAATAATTTGTCCTCATTGCTATGGTTGGGTTATTACCTACGTATATGTTTGCATAGTTCAGAAAAAACATAATGAATATTAATTCATTTGGAAAATAGATTATTACCCATGAGACAAGTTTTATTAACCTCAAGTTTTCTACTCATTCAAATTAAACTTTTAGTCCCTTGTTGACAACCTCTTCTCCATTTGAGGGTATCTTACACGTTTTCTGTTTTGTAGTTTAATTTTTATAATCTTGTTTTACAAAATAATAAAGAATAGACTTTTTTCACACATGAGGTAATGGAAGAAATAGCCATTGGTGCCATATTTTTAAATTCGAATATAGGAAGAAAACAGTGGCATTTTAAATAATAGCTTAGTTGCAATTTTATTTTTAATGTAGAAAAGTTAATATAACTATTTCTGAGGCAGGTAGCCAAATAAGGTATTATAATGGTTACAAAAAGGGTAATCTTTTTTTGTATTATTTTGTAAACTCATTTCTGAAATCCGAAATTTGCACGTTAATAAGCTACTATCATTTGAGGTACATTTTGTGCATAATAAACATCAGCACTGACTTATTTGTATTCAAAACCTAGATGTTGTAAAACAGGTCTAGCAATCAGCTAGGTTTCATGATGGATACAAAACGAAAAATAAACAAAAAAATATGTACAACACAATTCCTCTATCTAGGAGTTTATTATTCTGTGGATTTTGATATGCCTTATATCAGTTTTCCTGAAACTTATGTACAGCAAAAACATAACAGGATTTTCTAGTCAGAATTATGAATGTTTCTATAATGTCATGTTTATATTCTTGAACTAAAAAGTCAACAGATGTTTAAAAGCTTGCCCTCATCATTTTCAGATTTCGGCTAAAGAACTTCTATTTGGTCATTCGGCTTCAGTAACATGTTTGGCAAGAGCAAGGGACTTCTCTAAACAGCCCTATGTCGTTAGTGCTGCTGAAAATGGGTAGGTAAGATGTGTGGAACTTGTACCTGTCTCCATTCCCTCTCCCTTTTTAAAACCTATGTTGGGGTACAGAATTCTAGGATGGAGGAAGCCTTAGTGATTAACATGTTCCTTCTACATATAGGAAAATCTAGATCTTGAATGATTGAGTAATTTGTGTGATAGTGCCAAGGAATGTAATTGGTGCTATGACTCACAATCTAAAACTCTTTTTTTACTAAACTGGGACCAAAATCAACACCCAAACATGTATAGGGCTTGTGGCAGCCTCATTGTGCGAAGGATACTGGCAAATGCCACCTATTATAAAATTTGAAATGGAAAAGTCTGGGTGCTTGTCTTTTTTCATATAGAAACTCACTTTGAGCTGTTAAGCAAACCCATCTAATCCTTCATAGTTTTGTAAAACAATTCAGTAGTTACAATCTTCATGTTGTACCCTCGTCTGATATCGTTATAACACGAACAGAGGAGAGGATTTGCTTGAAAGTGGAATGATGGGAGAGAAAAGGGATGCCACATAGACAGTGATTTGAGTTTCATGAAAGTGAGGTTTGTTTCAATGAAATAGGACTTAGCTGTAGGAAAAAGCCCCACTGATGTAAGAGCTGCTATGAACTAGACTCCGCTGCTGAGTTATTTGCCAAAGTATACTCAGGAATGCGGAATCGATTCGGCATGTGTTTGTGAATGAGGGATTGGGTTGAGGTTGAAACAAAAGAACCCCTTCCTTTTCTGTTTTTAACTCAAGGAGAAATTATATATATGGCTCTGTCGAAAGAATAATGAGGAATCAAGTGTTCAACTTGTAGAAACTGAATAGTTTAACAAAATGGCTAGTGGAAGAGATATCAAAGGGTACCTATTCTCATAGTTTATAACAAAGCCATAATTGTTATTCTTAGAGAGATTAAACTTTGGGCAAGGCTAATGTGAAATGTCCTAGTACCTTCTTTTTTAACAATTGTCAGTAGCTTTCATACACTAGTGCTCCCACAAAGCCTGTTACACATGTTGAGATATTTATTCCCAATCTGGAAAATTTGGGGGATGGTGAATTTATTCTGAGACTACTTAGAGAGTTAGGAAAATTAATAGCTAAGTAAGAAATAGATCTGAAAATAACTGAGTTCCAGCTTGAGGTTTTTGCCCACAGTGGCCTAGCTCCAAAAAAGAAACCACGGTTAATGGACATATTCTTGATGATGGATGAATTCAGCTTGTATGAGCCCTGTAAATATGATTGTTAAAGAGCCAGGGGACCTGGTTTGGTTTTCCTTTTCCAAAATAATTTGGATTTTCTAGAACTCTGTTCCTTTGGAGTGCAAAACTTAGCCTGCATCTATAAGATACTTCTTAGAGGGGCTGGCCCCGTGGCCGAGTGGTTAAGTTCGCGCGCTCTGCTGCGGCGGCCCAGTGTTTCGTTGGTTCGAATCCTGGGCGCGGACATGGCACTGCTCATCAAACCATGCTGAGGCAGCGTCCCACATGCCACAACTAGAAGGACCTACACCGAAGAATATACAACTATGTACTGGGGGGCTTTGGGGATAAAAAGGAAAAAAATAAAATCTTTAAAAAAAAAAAGATACTTCTTAGACAGTACCTACACTTCAGCTACTTCATGCTTAGCAAATCCTAATTTACTCTGTTGGAAGTTACTAAATTTACTAGGCTTTGCCCATTATTGCCCCCAAACAACAGTGATTTTTTAGCTTTGAGAAATCCCAGGATATGCCTGTAGGCTTAGTATTCCTGCCTCCAAAATGATCAGAGGGGACCCAAAATTGCCTCATGACTCAGTTTTTCATTTTTTTCCCAAAGTGTTACTTTATCTGTAGGCATAAACGCTAAGATTCAATAATCTCAGTGAATTCCTGGATAAATGAAAGGAAATAAACAGCTGGAGACTTGATGTTGAAATGGTGGAATGCCAAAGAAAAAGGGAAGATTCTGAAAGTAGTCAGTGAGAAAAAGCAAATTATTTATAAAGGAAAGTTAATTAAACTGAGACTTCTCAACAGTAACATGCAAACTAGACAGCAGTGAAATCTTCAAAAAGTTGAGATAAAATATCTGTCATCTTAGAATTATATCTCTAGCAAAAACATCTTCCAAAAGTGACGGCAATATAGTAACATTTAAGACAAATACTAAGAGTGCTCGCTGCCAAGAGACCCTCTATGAATAATGAACTCCTAAATTATATATTCTTCAATGAGAAGAACATTGGTTTCAGAAGGAAGATCTGAGCTGGAAGAAGGAATATTGAATAAAACCCAGCAAATTTTTTAGAAAATTTAAATAAACACAGACTATAAGACAATAAGCCAGCCCTGGTGGTCTAGTGGTTGAGATTCAGTGCTCTCACCATTGGGGCCTGGGATTTGTTTCCCGGTCGGGGCACCACCTCACCCATTTGTTGATTGTCATACTGCAGAGGCTGTGTGTTGCTGTGATGCTGAAAGCTATGCCACCGGAATTTCAAATACCAGCAGGTCACCTATGGTGGACAGGTCTCAGCAGAGCTTCTAGACTAAGACAGACTAAGAAGAAGGACCTTGCCGCTCACTTCTAAAAAAATTGGCCATGAAAACCCTTTGAATAGCAGCAGAGCATTGTCTAACATAGCTCTGGAAAGTGAGAGGATGGCACAAAAAGACAGGGCAAGGTTCCGCTCTGCTGTACACAGGCTCTCTAGGAGTGGAAATGGACTCCACGGCACTAACAAATAGGACAATAATGTTCATATATATATATATATATGTATGTATCCCATCCTCCCACACATACACACTACCCGAATCAGCAATTGGATATAATAGTGTAGTGATCAGATGCCGTGTGTTCTGGTGTTCTAGAGGTGGATAAAGATGTTGATTAACTTTAGACTTTAACTAGATATACGTGTTGACATTTCCAGAGTAGGTAGAACAGACAAAAGAAGTAGAATATATAACTTCCAATTTAAAAAGAAAAAAATATTGTTCAATCCAAAGGAGACAAAAATAAATGGAACAATAGAAAGCACAAAATAAGATTGTTGAAATAAATCTGAATAAAACAATAGTCTCAATTCCATAAAGGAACTAAACCCACTTAAATTACAAAGATTGCCAAACAATTTAAAAAGCAGGAACAGCATAAGGACATAGAAAAATTAAAAGTAAATGGATGGAGGGGCTGGCCCCGTGGCCGAGTGGTTAAGTTTGCGTACTCCGCTGCGGTGGCCCAGGGTTCGGATCCTGGGCGTGGACATGGCACTGCTCGTCAGGTCATGTTGAGGCGGCGTCCCACATGCCACAACTAGAAGGACCCACAACTAAGCTATACAACTAGGTACGGGGGGGTTTGGGGAGATAAAGCAGAAAAAAAAAAATTGGCAACGGTTGTTAGCTCAGGTGCCAATCTTTAAAAAAAAAGTAAATGGATGGAAAAAGATTTATCAGATGAATACTAATCAAAATAAGGTTATGGCTGTATTTATATTTTATATTAATAAATATAGTACTTCATAAAACCTTAGGACCAAAAAAGCCTTGGCCTTGAGAAAGAGGATTCTTACTTATTAATAAGACTTTTTTTTAAAAAATTTCTTTTTAAGGAAGATTAGCCCTCAGCTAACATCTGCTGTCAATCTTCCTCTTTTTCCTGAGGAAGATTGACCCTGAGCTAACATCTGCGCGCATCCTCCTCTATTTTATTTGTGGGACGCCTGCCACAGCAGGTCTTGACAAGCAGTGCTAGGTCTGCGCCTGGAATCCAAACCAGGAAACCCTGGGCCACAGAAGTGGAACACACAAACTTAACCATTATGCCACGAGGCGGACCCCTAATAAGACTTTTAATAACCAGCAAGAGATGAGACTAGGGAGATAGGCAGGCACCCAGTCTTGGAGTCTTCTAGGAAAGTGTTCCTTAAACCTGAGTTTGCATTAGGATCACTTGCTGAGCTTGTTTAAATACGGATTTCTGGGCCCCGCTCCTGGAGGTACAGATTCAGTAGGTCTGGGCTGATGTTCAGGAACTTGCACTTCTAACACATTCCTGGATGATGCTGATGCTGCTGGTTCAGAGAAGGTATTTGGAGTAGTGAGGACCCCACATTTGGGGCATTTAGAAAAAGTACAAGATCAAGAATGACTTGGGAAACTCATTGATGACAATACCAATCATTGAGAATAGGGAACAAAAGGAAGATGCTATTTATTGATTTATTTATTTTGAGGACAATTAGCCGTGAGCTCACATCCACCGCCAATCTTCCTCCTTTTTTGCTGAGGAAGATTGGCCCTGAGCTAAAATCTGTGCCCATCCTCCTGAATGTGAGACTGTAACAAAGCCTAAGACAAAAATCTAAGGAAAACTAACATTTAAGAAGCAGGCAGAAGAAGAAGAGCCTGAAAATGACGGAGAAAACCCAAAAGTATAATGGAAGACAAGAGAAAACAGAGTTTGAAGGATATAATGGACTTCCGATTCAAGATGGCAAACCAAGCGTTCACTTTTATCTCCTCTCCCTCTAGATGCTTTGTGAAAATTTGAGCAAAGCAATAACTGTCATAAGCACACAAATATGTGAATAGGAATGGGACTAAGAGAAAATAGGATATTTCTGAAAGATGGAAGGTGTATGGAAGAGTGGTGACTGATATATTTATCTATTGAATGAATTTTTATTGAGGTCCTAAGGTAGAGATATAGCGTTGAATTTAAAAGAATTTTTTAAAAAAGGAACTTTAGGAGGAATTTAACAATTTTATAATTTTATATGTTGTAGGTATTTTTCTCTGTTTTTCTTTTCATTGAAATAAAAAGCAATTCAAAAAATTTGGAAATCGTTAAATTTAAGTTTTTTTAATAAGTGAAGGTGATTTAATCTATGTAAAAACTTTGGCAACAGTATTTGAAAAAGAAAAGAGGAATATGCATCTTAATTAATCAATTAATTTTCATGTCTTCTTAAGTATATAACTTGTATAGTTCTAGCTACAATGCTGATGCTGCTTTTGATACACAGTGAATTTGATTTCTTTTCTTAAATAGAATCGATAGGTAAAGAATCAATTTTGCCTTTTGATATTTTTGTTTTTCAAAATTTAGGATAGAAAGTAAGATAATAAGCAAACAGGGGAAGCATTAGAATCCGAGAGAGTTTAGAGAATTAGTTTCCCTGGGAGGAGAGCTTTCACTGATGCCCAGGCTCCAAACCCTGGAAAAGGTGATTTAATTAGCCTGGCTTGGCATCTGGGTTGGGTCCCAGACATCAATATTTTTAAAAAGCTCCCTGATAATTCTAATATATAGCCAGAGTTTAGAATCACAAGTTTGCAGATAGACTTACCGAAAAACAGATTAACTGACCAGGAGTTTTTCAAAATCCCATATGCCAAGTTCCCAGAACAGAGCCATGGAATTAGAATCTCTGAGGGTAATTTTTGAAATATTCATAAGTGATTGTTGATGTCTAGCTAGAGGTGATGCACTCAAATTCCTTGTAAAGAAATTCCTTCTCAGAGGTAAAACTTTATATTGATGACTGCTTAAGATTCGGTTTCTTTACTTTCGATGTCTATTTCTTTACCTTTGAGATACATTATTTCAGTTTCTCCCTTTCTCCCAGTCTTATTTTTCGGACACATACACACACAAATTTTTTCCCCTGTTATTGAGTTGCGTGTCTCAAATCCTTTTTGGAATAAGGCTGGGTATAAACAGAGAGAGAAAAAAGCCAGGAATATTTTGTTTCTATATCTAGAACATGGTTTCTCACCCTCAGTGCTTATGACATTTTGGACCAACAGAGAATTCTTTGTTGTGGGAGACCATCCTATGTATTGTAGGTTGTTTAGCAGCATCACTGGCCTTTCCCCACTAGATGCCAGTAGTGTGTTCCTAGTTGTGATACTAAAATATCTCTAAACATTGTCAAATGTCCTTTGGGGGGCAAAATCGCTCCAGGTTGAGAACCACTGATTTAAAGATTGAGTTCCACTGTTTGGCTAGAAAAACGAAAAAGCCTGCGATTACCAAATGAATAAGCATTTAACATTATTAGTTCTTATCTTTTGCTTCTAAATAGCAGCTTCTCCTTTAAAGCCAATAAAGCTTTCATTTTTCTTCCATGGAAAATTTTGCTTATGTGTTAAAACTGTCAAAACTGAAGAATATTGCCAAACAACTCTGAAACAGCCATTCTTTATTTTGTGAACAGAAATCATATAAGCTACCTTACACTGGATATATTGTGTAACTGTATTTTATAACTGTGTCTATCTCTTTGTAACATTCACGTAACCAAGTCAGAGTTTTCTGAACAATGAGAATTTTCTAAGCATTAAGTGGCCAGGATGATTTCAGGATTTCAGGGGAAGCAAAGAAATAAACTGTATCAATGATCACCCAAATAAACCATATCAATGATAGACCAAGGCCTCTTGGTGGCACTGTTTATTTTTACAAAAATGATACGTCTTCTCCACAAGATGCAGCACTTGATGCATTATGCTTTTCAGAATATGTAGTTTAAGTTCAGTGAAATAAACCATTTTCAAGAGGATGCAGTTTCCATGGAAAGATTGTTGTGCTGTCATTCTCACAGGCTATGACAGCTGTATCCCCACAATTTGTTGTAGGTCAGGTTGGCGCTAAAGTCAGGTTTGTAGGCTGCAGGCAGGGTGTAATTACCCAAACAAAAAGACACAGATACAGTATGTCATCCCTGCTAATGACCACAACATTTTCTTGCCCAATAATCTGTAACAAAAAGCCACATAAATGATCTGGCTGCATTTAAGTGCAGCACTAAAGAAAAACTTGGTGGCACAAAAATTATTCCAGCCAATTGAGTGGAAATGACAGAGAATAATACAAAGTTATCTCTGCTAGGGAGATGTGTATTTGGAATGTCACCAACGGACAGTGCGTGGAGAAGGCCACACTTCCTTACAGGCACACGGCAATCTGTGTAAGTACGTGCACTTCCCTGAGAACACTTCTGGATTCTACAATTCCTTTAGAGCATTTGCTACACACATAGTAAAGAAATGTCTTTGGAAGATATGCTTTTCTTAAATTTTTGTTTTGTCATTAGAGTAGTTATCATCTGTTATTTTGGCATTTTTCTTTCCCCAAAGTTATTATTCAACCAATTTTTTTCTGATTCTCTCTCTTATTTCTCTTTCTTTCAACATAGATAAATTTGAAAGACAATTTTTTTATTTTCCCGTAGGTACATTCACAAAAAACACTCACACATGCAGACACACACACACAGAAAGATTCCATTTTGATGGCGTGCTATTTTATAAAGCAAAAACTTTTTTTCTCTTGTTCCCAATTTTAATCTTTTTGAGTGGATAGATTCTTAACTTCTAAATTTCTTATTTATGAAACGAGAGCAAGAGGCATGGCCATAAACCTTATAATCACTTCCTAGTATTTAAAACAGATTTTGACTTTTGTGTAGATGGACTCCAAGTATCTATGTAAGGTAGTTGTGTTATTCCAATGGTGCTGACAGTGTTTTTTGTATGTCACTCATTGGGTTAGCATCGATGTCTTGCATTGCAACATTTGCAAACTCCTTTCTAGAACCAAAACCTGCACAATGAGTGAGCTCATCAAGGGTAGAATATACTACTCAATCTTTAATGAAAGTCATTCTCATGATTTATTTGGCACAAGAATTCCTCGAATGCCCTTCACACACTTTTATTTCTTCTTAACATACAGCAGTGTTGCCAGGATAAGGAACCTGGTTTTGTTGTTGTTGTTTAGTACTACATAGCACTCCAGAAATAGTATACTTGTGAGCTTTCCATGATTTGAAATAAGATTCCTCCTTCTCAAAAGATTCCTCTTTCTCCAGAAAAATGATGAAATATATATAAGACTAAAGTGCAAAATCAATACTTTAGATGTATGGAATAGTTGAACTAAAAGAAATTTTAGTTGCTATTCAGTCTAATACCTTAATTGAATAGGTGATAAAAACTAAAATCTGAAGAAGTCTTCACACAGCCAAAATTATGTTAATTGCTGGTGATAATTAAATTTCACTTTGAATTCCTTTTGCATAGTATTATCACTGCTCATTCCGGATGACAGGAGAAGGCTGGCTTCTGTGTTGTGGAGAATATCAAGACATTCTTATAATTGATGCCAAAAGTTTGGCTGTTGTCCACACTTTTACATCATCTCAGTCTCCTGATTGGATTAACTGCATGTGCATTGTACACTCCATGAGAATACAAGGTAATAGATGGGTATTATATAACACTAAGAGTGCATATAAAAATATAACTTTTTGAACTATTTGTTAAGTTGTTGGGCAAGAGTTCAGAATGCTTTTTTATGTCGGTGGGGGTAGCACTCTAAGTCAGATCAAGAAAAACTGAAAACGCTCATGCCAGTGGTTCAAGTTTTTTGGAAAGTCAGTGAGACGTTAAGATGAAGTCGAAAGAGGAGACCCTATGTTTCCATGACCCAGTTCTGCTTGGTACATTTAAGAGTGACAAGCAAGTGTGTGTTGTGGATTAACAAGACTCGGAATTTTTGCCCTGCTGCGTCTTCTGGCTGTAGTAATGAAGAGAATTTAGTTTCTGTAATGAGTAACTACACAAGAAAGGAAAGGCTGACTCTTTATTTCTGAAATAGGAAGTGGTAACGTTGCCAACATGGTGGCTTGCAGTGTGCTTCTGCTTTAAGTGGTGCTCTCCTTTTACGTGGAGGTCACTTTGAAATTTTAAAACATGATCTAAAATGTTTATTTTTTATTAAATAAAAAAGCTGGATATTTTCCACCTACATAGGCCTGCATGATCCTTCAGCGGCTGTGAAATGATCTTTACACCAACCAGGTATAGCAGTGGTCAGCTTATATGTGGTCTTTGTTGTTTTTGCAGAAGATTCTCTCTTGGTGGTATCAGTAACTGGTGAGCTCAAAGTCTGGGATCTCTCTTCATCTATCAACAGCATTCAGGTTGGCTTGTGAAATTCTACCCTTTCTTCTCCAATTTCAAGCATATTTATTGACTTTTTTTAATTATATGGGTATTACACACTCATTATTAAAAGTTTAAATAATATAGAAGTCTATAAATTTTACTTCCCTGTACTTTCCCTGTCCTTCTTCCCATAGATAAGCATTGGATATGGTTGGATTGTAACTTTCCAACCTTTTCTCCATGCATATACAAATGTTTTGATCTACACACACACATACACACCCACATATGCATGCACACACACACTGATCACATTTTTAATTAAAAAAAGAAAACTGTCATAGAAGAATATCTTTCTGTCCCTTACAGTAGAAGACTCCCTTTCTCCTGGGGTGTATGAGGGGTGTCAGGGAGATGACGAAGAACAGCTGAGGGTCACATACACTGGGAGTCCATTATATTCACCTGCTCCCTGGCATCAGGCTACAAGTTGAGGTCATGCACAAAAGAACAGTCATAGTGTTTGTGCTGGTGACAAAATTGTTTTGGCTGCCCCTTGGACCACTGGGCTCTCCCTTAGGAATTTCTTCACTGCAAAAGCCTAGGAATTGTTTTGACATACTGAGCCCAAGAAACACACCCCAGAATTTTCAGAAACTCATGGAGAATAATATTCTGTGTGTTCTGTTGGCCACACTTCTGTTTTTTTCAGAACACTTTATTTTTCCATTTTAGCAATTAAGATACTGCAAGGTTTTTAAGAAATTGTTTTACTTATTTTTTATCTTTCTGCCCTGTCTGAAAGTCAATAACTTATTCTTATCTTTACATTCTCAGCATCCATCAAAGTCCCTCACAGAATGTTTCTTGAATGATTATATATAATGAGCCCTTGAGTCCAAGTGGGTTTTCCGGTCAGAATCTCTTTGCAAAGTAACTTGTCTGCAAAAGGACACTGGGGTACTTTTCATTTTATAGTAAGGGTGCGATCTACTTCTGTTGTACAGGAGAGTAAATCTTCTCCTACAGTCCTATATAAATTGCCTAGAACTAGGACTAAAATGTTTTCATTCCTTTTGAAGGAAAAGCAAGATGTCTATGAAAAGGAATCCAAATCGCTCGACTCCCTGAATTGCCGGACAATACGATTTTGCACGTATACAGAGAGACTTCTATTGGTGGTATTTTCTAAATGTTGGAAGGTATTATAAAATAACATAATAAATACCAGTGATATACAAATGTAGCTTGTTTTTTTCTTGTTCAGTGCAACAATTATAAAAATATAATTTAAATATGATACAGACTCTTAATAATATTATTACCAGAGCATGGAATGTCTTGTCTTTTATGACAGACTTTTATCAGTCTTCCACTCCCCGCATTCAGCTGTTTTCTTCCCAGGATATTATTTATATAGTAGCATGTCCTAATTTTATTAATAACAAACCATAATAATAATGAGCATTTATGTCTAGATTATTTTCAAAAGTTGGTGCCTACACTTTAGAATTAAAAAGAAAACTAATACTTTTCATCTACATAAATTGATCTTATCTTTAGATATTTTTTCTTTTTCAGCTTTGTCACTACATTTTTTTTTAAAGATATTTTAATTTTTTCTTTTTCTCCCAAAGTCCCCTGGTACATAGTTGTGTATTTTTAGTTGTGGGTCCTTCTAGTTGTGGCATGTGGGACGCTGCCTCAGCATGGCTTGATGAGCAGTGCCATGTCCACGCCCAGGATCCGAACTGGCGAAACCCTAGGCCGCCGAAGCAGAGCACACGAACTTAACCACTTGGCCAGCCCATACATTTGTTTTTAATGAATATACATTCCTTTCTTGTGAATATATTCACTGACATCTTCAAGAAGAAAGAAAAGCTAAGTTACCATCAGTTGATAGCATCCTCTTTTTCTTTAATGTTTCATATACTTGGCTCAGTTAAAAAAAAAAAGCTATATTGTCTTAGTTATATGCTGGTAATCTATTTTTGAACAAAAATATAAAGTACATGGTCTAATAAAGAATTTCTGCTATATAAACTTTTTTGTGTTATAAATTTTCACATGTTACAAAGTTGAACTATCCATATGGAAAGAATAAAATTATATAGAAATTTTGAGATTTTTAGTCTTTGTGCTTAACTGGCACATTCTGGAATAATACAGTCAGATGAAGTTTATCCACTGAAATCTACCTTAGGATAAATGTGAAAAAAAGTACTAGTAAAATATTATCTTGATACATGAGTACAGTGTGGCCTTTTATTAATACTTAATGTGTTGTTGCATTAACACTGTCATCAAAATAGTCTTGATAAGCATAATTTGTCTTTCATCTCATTGGCAGATTAGATTGTAAGCTTTTGTTAATGTGCATCATTAATTTTGTATTTTAGGTTTATGATTATTGTGATTTTTCCCTTCTGCGGACTGAAGTTAGTAGAAGCGGGCAGTTCTTTGCTGGTGGCGAGGTGCTTGCTGCTCACAGAATCATCATCTGGACAGAAGATGGTCACAGTTATATCTATCAGCTGCTGAACAGGTGGGCTCAGATGGGAGCAGCATACAAAATATTCAGGTAGAAAATGAACTTTGGGAGGTTTATTATGGAAAAATCCCTGCATGCTGCCCATGATCAAAAACCAGAACAAAACAACTTTGGCACTAGAAGATTTACTCTGGGCTTGATGGGCTTCAGCCTTTGTATAAAACAGCAGGGGATGAAGGAGTGAGATTAACCATGTATAACTTGTACAGCTGGTGCTGCGTTTTCAAAAAGTCACTTGTAATTATTAACCCAACAATTTCTAACTGGAGTTTAGAAACTTGAATGGTACCATCCGGCTTTTGAAAGTGGGAGGGGAAAAAAATGAATAAAGAACCCCAAAGTTCTAAACTTTGCTTTTTATTTTTTTGCCACACAGTGGGCTTTCAAAAAGCATATACCCTGCTGATGGAAGAGTGCTTAAAGAGACCATTTATCCTCATTTACTGTGCTCTACTTCTGTGCAGGAAAATAAGGTAATGCAAGAAAAGAGTGACTGCCTCAAAGCTTTATTTCACTCCATTTCTTAGATAAGCGTTGCTTTGTCTGTAACAGACTCAAGCTTGAACAAATTGAATTGAAGAATCACATCAAGTTGTTAACGAGAAAATCAAATTTAATTGTTAATGGCTACTGAAGAGGAAACTTTGCCTTTACAAAAAAATCTATATTTTGAAGTCTGATTAACTAAACAAAGCATATTTATTGTAAAAAAGTTATAAATGTTAAAAAGACAAAGGAAGAATTAAAATTCCTGATTTTACCAACATTAATATTCACTATGAATATTGTTTATTTTGTGTATTTACTTATTTTAATGGGACCTTTTTCAATTATTTGAAAAGTTACAAGAATGGTACAATGATCACTCATATACCCTTTACCTGGATTCACTAACTGTCAACATTTTGCCATATTTATTTTCTCTCTCTCTACATATATATATATACACATACTTTTACATACACGCATACATCTTTTCACTGCCCCTTTTGATAGATGGTTTAATACAATGGTATAAACATTTTGATGTATCTACTCCAATTTTTAGACTTAATCAAATGGTTTATATCTTGCTTTTTTTTTTTTTGCTTAACTGTATATTGAGATCATTTTCACATGTATTTAGCTATTCTGAATAAATTTTCTTTTAAAACAAATATAATTATGATTCCTGGCAGAGAGTTGAGGGTATAATTGTGAGCATTTACTCGACTGAATTATATCTTTGACACTCTGAAGCCTGAAAATTTAAGCAGTTACTTTATTTTAATAATGTTAACTAAAGTGTCTTTTTTTTGGACTTAGTCATCAGTTAATTATCCCAAAAGGTATTTCACTGAGAATGGAGGAGTTTTGAATTATTGATGTGTCAACCAAGGAAGCATGTTAGTTTTTACAGAGTGATGGTTTGCTTAATTAGGCAGCATAGCTGTTGGAAATCCTATAGTTCAGGGATTGTCCTTTTAACATATCTGTGAGGTTTTGTTGCAAAAACTTGATTAAGAAACTGTCAGCCAAAAATTAGAAATCCAAGTGCCAGTGGGGCACAGGAAAACTTTAGAATTATGGCATCAAGCACTATTTCTAATTTCATTTGTAGGGAACAATAGAGCCTTGTTTTGCTGTTGATCACAAGAACAATATTGTGGCTTACTCAGAAAGGCATTTTAGTTTTTTTAAAGGACCTTTCCTTTCTTCTTTTCCAGCTCCAGAATGCATACTTATAAAGCACAGTTTGGCCTACAAGCTAAATATAGTGTCCTTTAGGAGCTTCTAGTCTACTGAAAATAGCAATGATATACGTAACTACTAGGAAAAAGTACAACAATTAAAAGTTAAGTTAAGAATAATAATCTTATGGGAAGCTACCTTGCTTTGTTTTTCAAAATATGAAGACAAAGATTTATGGGTCTTCTCTCAATAATTCTTGTTTAGACAACCACAGTTCTTTGTGTATCTTAAAGATGGGAGGGGTCAGCCCATGGCCGAGTGGTTAAGTTTGCACACTCTGCTTTGGCGGCCCAGGGTTTGGCTGGTTCGGATCCTGGGCGCGGACATGGCGCAGCTCATCAGGCCACATTGAGGCGGCGCCCCATATGCCACAACTAGAAGGACTTGCAACTAAAATATACAACTATGTATTTGAGGGATTTGGGGAGAAGCAGAAAAAAAAAGGAAGATTGGCAACAGTTGTTAGCTCAGGTGCCAATCTTTAAAAAAAAAATGAAGGAGGTACTTGGAAGCCAATGAAATATGAATAGAATGATCTGAAACTAAAAGAAGTTGGTCTACCCATCCTTGGACCTTTGCTTGCCCTTTATCGAGCCAAGAAATTGAAGACAGACATTATTCTTCTTATTCAAAATATTAATGTTCACGAAATGTAAGATTTCTTAGTCTCTCTTGAAGCTAGAAGGCAATGAAGGCCTTTTCGTGAGGTGGGAGATGAGTTCAATAGACACAGTGAACTTTGAAAAGGGTGCTCTGTAAACATGTTGTATTGACTGGACTCCTTTTTTTTTTCGAATAATACCATAGAATTAAATCTCAGAGTTTGACAGTAACATGTTCTCAGAGTTCCCATTTGTAATGCGGGAACATATCTGCCGATGGAGTTGCAGTAGCAAGAATGGGGACTCCTCCTTCCTTCCAGTAGCTTTATGAGAGTCTCCCTAGCTTCAAATTACAGCTGATGATCACTGACATCTGTGGCAGGGGCCCAGACTGTTGAGATGAGGAACTGAGCTTCCCAGGGTCTTAGGTGTAGAGTAAGAGTGCAGTGCTGAGATGGGAGTAGTTGGGATAGAAATAGCCTGAGAATTGTAGATAAGGAATTTGGGAGCATGAATAAGAGTAATGACAATAATGATGATAAAAGATAACTTTTATTGAGCCTTTATTATGTCACACATACACACACTGCCTTATTTACATGAGTTCCCACCATGACCTCATTTTGAAACTGATGTTCAGAGAGGTCAGTTCCCAAGATTTGAACCAAGGTAGTTTGGCCCCAGAGTCTGGCAATGGGTCTCTGGAGTGAGTTTCTTAATTGTTCTGAGAAGTGGATAATAAGAATGGCTAATATTTATTGAGTATGTACCAAATGCCTGGTACCACTCTAATCACCTTACCTTTGTCAACTTATTAATCCTGACAGTAATCCCATATAGTAGGTGCTTTTATTAGCCTTCTTTCATGGTTAGGGAAAATGAGACACAGAGTGGTTAAGTAAATTGGCTAAGTCAAGAAATTGGTTCTTTTGATAGAGTTAATATATGCTAAAACCAGGATTTGAATCCAGGCAGTTAGCCCAAGAGAATTCACTCTTAATGACTATTTTATTACCTCTTGGAGGATGGGTACTCCTTGTGATGGGTACTGGGTACTGTGATGAAAAATCAAAATTCATATAGTAGGGGGCTCTGAGGCAGTTTTCAGGTGAATAGCAGAACTAGTGAGGGAAAAACTAGGAATGAGGAGGGTCGAGGGGTCAAGGAGTAGGTGTGAGCAAGTGAAGAATGGCAGCACAGAAGGTGAAGGCAGAGGGGATGATAGCAGCTTGGGCAGTGTGGGCTCCCCACAGGGCAGTGCTTGGAGCTTGGAGGGAGCAGACATAGCTGCTACCAACTTGAGTCACCACCCAGCCTCTCTGCAGCTTCATCCCCATATCAAAATCAAGAGGGAGTTACACTAGTCAATTCCAAGTTCCTAAAGGCTGAGAGAGTTTGAGAAGCCAATTTAACCACATTTTATCAACAACATCTCTAACACCTACAGAAAAGATGACCATGAGAACTACAAGACTCCAAAGTGTCTTCTGAATCTTTAAAAAAAAAAAAAATCTATTCAGAGAACTAACTTCATTGGAACTGTTTTCTCTTCTGCAATGTTCTCATTTCTTGGGATCATAGAGGATTACATATCTTGGTTGCACGATCTTAGATTAGTTTCTTATTCTCTTCCTGTCTTAGCTTCCTTATCTCCATACCAGGAATAATAACAGTATTTACTTACTTCGTAGTTTTGTTGTGAGGATTGTAGAAATATTTTGACCCTTAATATTCTCTAAAGATAGCTTATAGATTTTTTTCCACTAATATTTCTAAATCCGAACCTTCAAACATACATTTCCTGACTAGGAACTATCACTTTCTTAGATTTAATTCTAGCACCCACCAGTTGGCTTTCTTCTCAGGATGGCTTTTATTTGGACATTAAAAGAAGTTTGGGGTTTTGTTTTTCTTATCACTTAACCATTTTGATCTCTTGTGCATAATCTCTATACACAAGCCTGCCCAAAGAATATCTGCACTGCACTGAGGTACTAGGTTCATTCACTAGTGAAAGCATCTTTCAGAGTGCTGTTGCCCAATATTTATTCTCTGTCTCGGCAAAATTATAACTATATATATACATTTATATGTAATATTATGTAATACATATTAATATAAATATATGTATAAGTTGTGGACTCATTTTTCTTTGTGGCTGTTTGGGAAATTTGAAATCAGGTATGTTAAAACTGAAAAATGGTCAACAGAAAGTGGAAAGCATATTAAGAACACAAAATTACTATACAAATATTAGTTGTTGCTATTTTAACTACAATTGGAACTGAAGGGACCATAAGGATATCAGACCTCCTTAGTGGACTGTAGAGGATTGTCATCAAGACATGGGCTCTTGAGTCAAAATTACTGGACTCAAAAGCCTGTTGCTGTCTGTATCACCTTAGATAAATCAACCTCTTCACTCTCAGTTTACTCATCTGTGAAATGAAGACAATAATAGTACCAACTTCGCAGGATTATTGTGAAGATTATTTAATGAACACACGTAAAGCTCCAAGCAGTATGTGTAATACATACATAGAACCTGTTCAATAAATGTTGGATAGTCTTGTTAACTCTCTGAAGTCTAGCTGATGACTTTGCTTCTTGTTTTATAAAAATTTTTTGTCCTAAGAGATTATTTCACTTAATTCACTTGCAATTTTTAAAAGAGTAGGAAATAAATGGAAATAATTTAGTTCATCTATGGAGTCTTGTTCCTCCATTTACAAACAGTGGCTGTCATTTTATACTTAGATATTTTCCCTACATAAAAGCTAACTTGTTGTTTTGGACCAGAGCAATCCCTTTATTATGGGCTACATAAATGAAAGAAAAGAGCCTTTTTATAAGGTTCTTTTCTCTGGAGAAGTCTCCGGAAGAATTACTTTGTGGCACATCCCTGATGTTCCTGTATCCAAGTTTGATGGGTCTCCTAGAGGTAAGACAATTTCCATTTCTAATCACATGTCTTTTGATAACTAGTTTATGATTAACTCATTGCTTTTCTAAGTTGAGTAGCATGAGGCTACAAACAAGAAAAATTTTCTTGTGTACTACTATGCATTAGATGCCAACATAAATAGGTATAAATATGATGCTTCTAGATATTATACAACAATATAACCAATATAATTCAAATTAACATCAATTTAATGTGAGTGATGTTTTATTGAAATGAAATGAATGCTAGCAATGTGAATATAGGATAGGTTGATACATCATTTTCTTATTTTTGAATTTGTCACTCCATATCCTATACTCTTTTTCAATCAATTTCTCTATTGGGATTATTACAGATGCTTGGAACTACAAGCACAGATATAAATTTGGACACTAAAACATTTGGCAATTTGAATAATTAGATGATTTAGCATTTGCTTATTTGAACTTTTCTTAAAATACAAAACTGAAATCATCAAAGTAAACATTATTGTGGAGAACTTTCAAACTCCTGGGACTATGTATTCCAAATTGAGGAATCCTGTCTTACTCTTTTTCCGTTATTCCAAAATCAGTGAATCATCTCTGTGAGATGGTCTGGGGCAGAGCAGAAACAGGGTCCCTATTTTCAAAACTTGAATTTCTAAGCCCAGGGTTCTATCAGTTAACAAGTTTACTGGTATAACTTTTAGTGTTCCTGCTCCAGATGTTTTCGAAATAGTTCGTAATAGACCTAGATTAATAAGAAATGGGTCAGGAAATAGACTTAGAATTTGGTATTGGGTGTGAAAAAGTTTCTTCTTACAAGTTCAATTTTAAGAGTTAAAAAGTATACCATGCCCACTGCTGAGTCTGCTTGATGGTGGCTCTAGGGTTTCTCATGTCTGTTCTACTTCCCAGCAACAGAATTAAGCATCTAGCCACCCTTGCTTATAATTAGAACTGTATAAGTCTATGACAACTCTTGGTGTTAGTCTAAGATTTGGGGTTGAAGTTTTCATAGTCACTGTGGCATGTGTACTTCAACGTCAAGGAGGCCTTTTCATAGCGAGGTAGGTCAGCTTTAACTTTCCTTCTTTGCTTCTGGATGCCAAGGCTGTCTCATTTCCTGAGCCTACCTGAGGCACATGTCAAATGATTGGTTGGTCAGCTATATAAATGATAACCAGTGCTCTTGGTAGCCATAGATAGTTGCCTGGGAGCTTGGTATGACTTTGAGATATTCATATCCCTGACATTTAAAGAATAAGTTTCTTTCATTTACCTCACGCAACTAATAGACCCTCAGTTTTCCTTCTTAACATTACAAAGGCAAATAGTTTGGTCCACCATTTTACATCGTTACATGAGTTTCTCAGTTCTTTTCAGTTGACCTAAATCTAAAATGAATGTACTAATACACGTCTATTCTTCTGAGGCTTCCTGTATTGAAGGACAGAGGACCAATAAAATAGCATTTTGATGGAGACAGTGCATGGTAGGAGAACTTTTCTGCCCATAGCCCACTATTAGGATAGCAAAAGAGCCTCTGTGTAACCCAAGGGATGGTGCCTTGATAATATTTTCCATATCCATGATGAATTTATAAACCAAATTTTTCTTTTTTGTTTTCCTTTTAGAGATACCAATAACTAGCACCTGGACCCTTCAAGATAATTTTGATAAGCACGATACCATGTCACAAAGTATTACTGATCACTTCTCTGGATTTAAAGATGGGACTGGAACTGCAGTAGTCACTTCATCAGAGTATGTTCCAAGTCTTGATAAACTAATATGTGGCTGTGAAGATGGGACAATTTTCATTACACAGGCTTTGAATGCTGCCAAAGCAGGACTTCTAGAAGGCGATTCTTTATTAAAAGGTCATTGAATTTTATTTGACCCTATTTATTTAATTTCCTAAGCTTCAACTTTAATAAGCTATACTAAGAAGATTGCCAAAGCTTAAAAAATTTGCTGGCATTTGCTGATAAACGTGTACGTATTTTAATGTTAAATAAAACGTACATCTAGATTTTTTTAAAAGTAAAATGTAAGGTTATACAGCGAGAACTATGTTTCTGTCCTTCCTTGATCTTCCCGTTCCCTTCACCGAAGGCAACTGCTAGTAAGTTTCTTTATACCCTTCTCAAAATTTTTTATGCATATACAAGCACATACCAACATAGCAGTATGCATTCTTCTAATTGTCATAGAAGCGTTTTACTACACACTTTACTGAAATGTCTTTAGACAAATCTTAATAAAATATTTTGAAGCATATTCTTTATGAGCTTATTTTAAATGATTAATAATAATCAAATTTTAATTTTAAAAATCTATTGATACTGGTTTTAGTCTTGGCTACTAAAGACAATGCAAAATTAACTATCTTTGCATATATATGTGGGTATATCTGTAGAATTAATTCTCAGGAGTGGAATTACTGGATCAACATTTGTATATATTTTTAATTTTGAAAATATATCTAAAAATGTAAACATATATCAATGTGCATATGTGTCCACTAAGATCCTATGAGAATGCCTTTTTCCCTAAACCTTAGCCAACTTTGTGTGCTATTAAACTTTTTAATTGCCAATCAGGAGAAAATGGTATCTTCCTGTTTTAGTTTTTATTTCTTTGTTAATGAAATATGAATATGTTCTTATATGTCTTTGTGCTTTACAACAGCGAATACCTATTAAATAAAGACTGTTATGCATTAAGTTGTCTTGGTAAAGGAAGGAAATGTAGGAGGTGATTGAGATTTGGGGATGTACAGATAAATTTGTATACCCATTTTACTATAAGGATCCCACTAGAATGCAAGGCCTTTAAGAGTAAAGACCAAATCTCAATTTTTTAAAAAAATCTTGGGGGCCGGCCCAGTGGCACAGTGGTTAAGTTCACACGTTCCAATTCTTGGCGGCCCGGGGTTCGCTGGTTCCGATCCCAGATGTGGACATGGCATCACTTGGCAAAAGCCATGCTGTGGTAGGCATCCCATGTATAAAGTAGAGGAAGATGGGTATGGATGTTAGCTCAGGGCTAATCTTCCTCAAAAAAAAAATAAAAAAATAAAAAATAAAAATAAAAAAACCTTGTTAAATTGCCTACTATTGTGCTCAGCATACTTTGGGTACTTACTAAATGTTACTCATTTGTGATTGACTGAAATAGAAGAGTGAATAACAATGAACCAAGGAGAGATAATGTACTACTATACAGTTCAACGGCTGCTGTCAAAAGTTACTGAAAAAGCTTAAGACCTTAGCATTTTTTATCTAGGCTGGTTTATCAGAAAACAAGCAGAAACCTACATTTGACTTGTAGCATTTGAATTAATATTCATTTTTATTTGTTAGAAGGTGTAAAATGAGGATGTACTGGATGCAATAGAAGTAACCAGTGATTCTTTAATAGAAGTAATAATGATTTTCAATTTGAATAAAGAGTTTGTGATCTGCGTTCCTCTCCAATTTTTTAGGGTTATCTAATGATGAAGAAAGAAGCAGTGTGGAAACTGGGTGTCAGTTGCTCTGTATTCTAGTACAGCTATGGTATGAAATACCCAGGTTCCTACCAAATGCCAGTGCTAAGAGTTTATGGAAATTATTTATTCCACACAACAGTCTTGTGTGAAATAAGTGGTATTATTACCCCAATTTTTCAGATGCAGTAGCTGTGGCTTAGAGGGAAGATGCATCTTGTCCTTGGTGACGCATCTAGTAAGTGACAGACCCAGAAAAACAGAGCCAGATTTGTTTAACAGCAAAGCTATGCTCTTAAACATTTTGCTGTGCTTTTTCACACTTGGAATCAAACCACTTAACTCTCTGAGCCTCGGATACTTTATCTGTAAAACAAATATTTTGTAAAACAGTGAGGTGGAACTAGGTAATCTCCAACACCATTTAGAGCAAAAGTGTTCTGTGAAACTTTGCTTTTCTTTTGTGGTAGACTTGGTCATGCTAATTTAAAGGACAGCACTAATGTTCTGAGCTTATTTTTGTAGAGGCCAAATGTATGAATTGTTCATTCTTTGGGAACAGCGTTTGCTATTTCATGGCACTGGAATTGGTGACTTGCTAACTCCGTAAAGAATTAGTGGATTTTGAACAACCAACTTCAGTTCTTCATCAACGGCTTATCATGAGGCTCTTGTCTTTTGAGATGGTCCAGGGGTTGCTCACTAATTTTCTTAGTCTACTGCCTACCTTTACTTATATGTGGTTTCCTTACGTGAAAAATTTATAAAAGAAAATCTCGGGACTATTTCTTGAGCAAAAATAACTTTTTTATTATTTGGTCTTTGGTTGTTTTCCAGATTCCCTTCCTCACAAAATTCTCAAAGGTCATCACCAAAGTGTTACTTCATTACTTTACCCACATGGTCTCTCTTCAAAATTAGACCAAAGTTGGCTAGTGTCTGGGGACCGGGATTCGTGTGTCATTTTGTGGAATATCTTTACTGAAGAAATTTTGCATAAATTCGTTTTGGAAGCTGGTCCAGTAACAAGTCTTTTGATGTCACCAGAGAACTTCAGAGTAAGTTAAGACAAAGAGTAAAATATAACATGTAAGTTTAAAAGTTATATAACATTACAGAATGTTTAAAAAACAAAAGGAAAAATAGCCCATATTCCCACAGAAAGAAAAGTTGTATGTGCCCATAATACAACTGGGTGATTTTTATATACTCCTTTCTAATCTTTTTATATGCATTTTATTATTATTATAGCTTATACAAATAAGGTGGTTCTAAAGCAGAAATTTTGTCAATACTTGGCTTTACAAGAGCCAGTTAATTCTCCTTAAGTACTTAAATTTTTTTTCCTTGGTTATGTGTCTTAATTTTTAATGAAATTGTCTTTTCTTTTTCAATAAAAGTTGTAAACACTCAAGGCTGGCCCTGGTGGCCTAGTGGTTAAGTTTGGCGCACTCTGCTTTGGTGGCCTGGGTTTGGTTCCTGGGTACAGACCTACACCAGTTGTCAGTGAGTGGCCATGCTGTGGTGGCGGCCCACATACAAAAAGAGGAAGATTGGCAACATGTGTTAGCTCAGGGCAAATCTTCCTCAGAAATAAAAAAAAAGTAATAAACGCAATGTAAAAACTATTCAAATAGAAATTAACTTTTGCCTTCAACAATTTACTTTTATAATAATATTGATAGTTACATTTTCTTTTCTTAGATAGATTTTGCTTGCTCTTTCATTTATTTAACAAATAATGAGCTTTAGCAAATTTGTGAGCATCTGGCTTGTTCCAGGCAAAAGGAAACACTTTGGTATAATTTTCTTTTGCAATGTCAACTTAAATTCAGCTTCCATAAAGTTGATGTCTTTGTTAAAATATAAACAACAAACTTTTGAGTTCCTGAGTTTGTAAATTAGTTGATTGGCTTATAAAAATTATTTCTCCATAGTAATATTATAAAAAATCAGCTCCAAAGTAAACTCAGAAAATTTACACTGTATTTTTGTAGTAAGACATAATGAAAGCAATATTTCAGCAACACAAACGATTAAACATAACAGTGAAACAAAGTTAAGTGACTTTAAAAAAAAGCACTTCCACATCTTGATTCAGGATACCTTGATATGTCTTTTATTCCTAAGGTACCTCTCCCTGTTTTTTTTTAAACTAGTTTTTTCTCTCTGCTCCAGGAATGTAGTTCAAGTCCATTCCACTCCTGATCCCTTTTACTTTTGCCTCAGTCACAGATGATTTAACTCTAAGGATCAGGACCCATTCAAACCAAGTCAAATTAAAAGGGAGTTTATTGAAGGGTATAAGAGGAGAGACGATCCTTTAGACATCCAAGACAAAATGCTACAGCAAGCACCCAGTGGAACTTGAACTTAAATTCAGAAACCAAGGTTATCCTTTGAGTACTTTATCCTGAAAGAGTCTGCCTTTCTGTGAATGCTCCCTTATCTTGCTTCTTCCTGTGCCTCCTCTAACTTTACAATTTCAAATGCCTAGGAAAGAGAATTTGATTGGCCTAGTGTGGGTCTCCAGTGTATGTCTACTCCTGGCCATAGGGACTGTGTTCACGTGTTGTGTGTGTGTGTAAGTTTCCTCAAGTACATTGGGCTGCCCATTCTAGAAGCTGTGAGTTAGGCAGGTTCTCCAGGTAGTGGAGAGGCAATGTCATCTGCCTCATTTTCTCCCGGTCTAGCATACCTGCCATTTTGTAATTTTTTTCCTCAAGATTTCTGTAGTCTCTAAAAAGAATTAAGAAAAATAATATGCTTCCCAATGTCCCACAGAAAGAGGTCAATGATGGGCACTGGGAGCTTCTCAAGAGATCCCAACTAGCAGCTGAAACTCTGGCTAGGTGCCTTAGTGAAAGTTGGAGAATCCACTCAGCATGGTGGTCAGAAAATAAACACAGGCAAGGTAGAAGAGCCACTCCCTGTTTCCCCCCTCCTCCAGCCACCCCACCCCACCTGCCCCCCTTCATGGGCAGGCTAATGGATGGCCCTTGTGGTAAGGCACAGAGGTGCCCTGTAAATTCCTCCCAGATTAACCTCAGCAGCACCCAGCACGGATAGTTTTTGTCCTAAACTGTGTTCAAGGTAACCACATGCTGACCCTTTAAAAAAAGTATCTTAAGAATCTTTGTTCTATGAGCCTATTTTTGGTCATTGTGTCTTTGAAGTTGTACATTCAGTTGGAACGATCTAATGCTTACTTCTTTTAGATTGTGTCTACACAGAGTTTCCTGTTTGGATTAGAATCTGTATAGTTCTGGGAACAGCACCAAATCACATTTTGAGGCTCTAAATGAAAAATATCAGCTCATGATACTCTTGGACCTAAGCTTGTGTCTACAAATAGCTTCTTTTTGTGGCAACAAATTAGTTCTGGGGTTTATTTTATTCTGCATTATTTCCGATGTCTGCCTCATTGCCTGAATTTGCTGAGTGATGGTCAAGTCCTTCATTTATCTTATAAGTAGATCTGGCCTGGAATTCTCCTTTTTACTTGCATCTCTTGACCTTCCTGATAGGTGTTGAGTTTAAAATCTACTCAGTAGAGTGTTATGTGGAGAGGTGCTGTAGAAAGCAGAAATGTCACTTTGTAAATGCGGTTTTAATAAAAATTTTATTTTGCTAGGGGAAAACATCTGATTTAATTTTAAAGAAAGCTTTTGATCATTTACTTACACAAGAATGTTGTTTTTTTTTTTTTCTCACAGCTAAGAAGTGATCAGGTAATTTGCTGTGTGTGCAGTGACCATTCCGTGGTTCTCCTTCATCTTGAGGGGAAGAGCTGCCTCCTGCATGCCCGGAAACACCTTTTCCCTGTGAGGATGATAAAATGGCACCCAGTTGAGAATTTTTTAATTGTTGGATGTGCAGATGACTCTGTTTACATCTGGGAAATTGAAACAGGTAAATTGAAATTTTGCCCCTTTTCATCCTTTACGTATTTATGACATCAAAGCATTTGACTGGGTAGAGAATTCTACAGAAGTAGCAGTGACGACCTCACTTTCTTTAACCTTTGGTTGGGCTCCATGTAATGGCTTTAGTTGAAGGCATGTGTGGAAAATAAAACACAAGGGCCTAAGTCAGATCCTGACCAACTGATGATTAGCTGACAGGGCAATGCGCAGGAATGAGCCGGATATTTCTGGAAGCTATAAATAAAAATATAAGTTATCTACTTTAATTATTAACAAGGGAGAAATTTAGTGTCCTGCTAGTCTCAAATTATCGTTAAATTCTGCCTCCTTCAGCATACTCACCATCTCAGCAACATTTTGAGCTAATTGATGATCAGTAATAATGGAATATAATTAATTACAAAACTCCAAAAAGTTGAGTCAGGGAAACTGAAAACTGAGTGGTTCAGTTGAACTTTTGATATCATAGCATAGAGAATGTATACTTTGAACTTTAAAGTTTTTAAAAAGTTTTGCTGTATAACCTAAGATTGAGAGTTAAGCATTTCAGGCAAATACTGGAACATATCAAATAAGGCAAGGTAATTAATGCATGCGAGTCAGCGGAGTGCGCTCGAGAGTACATTTCACTGAAGCCATTGCATGATTTTTATTGATTAATCAGTGGTGGGTTTATGTTGGGTGTTATTAACAGACTGGATAGTTTATAATATTATAGTTTAGAGCCATACGTCACCAAAATAATTGCTATATTCTTTACATTTGACTTTTGTGTGTTAATGATGATGGCTAATGTACTGGTGTATAGAGGGTGCAATGTAATGCTACCTTGCATTTGTACCTTGCTTTAAAGCTTTGACGGGTTTTCGTGCTCATTTTCCCATTAGATTATTACAATTTCTAGGGTAGGTGTAAAAGGTATTATTCCCCATTTTATTGATGAAGAATTTGAAGTTGTTATAGCAAATGTGCGAGATTGCACAGCTAGTAATTGGTGAACCAAATGAGGCCCCCCCATTGTTCTCTGCACGATACACACAAAATTGGGAGAGTTTTAGAATTCTTAGGTAATCTATCAACCTGAGTGACTGTTGAATATGATAGATAAAATAGACTCTCAAGTCTGGACTTGCTTCCAGGACCTCCTAATGAAGAGCTCTTTGACCTTGGGCAAATAACTTGGCTTCTCTCCATGTCAATTTCCTCATCTGTGAAATGGGAGTAATAATAGCACCTTCCTGTTAGGATTAAGTGAACTAATACTTAACAATGCTCATAACCAGGCCTGTAGGTGCTCAGCCCTTAATAATATTCCCTATTACTATTATCAAATAATGCAGCAAAATCTTACCTTCTGCTTGTGAAATCTGAGTCTATAAAACACATACACTTATAAATATGTACAATTGCATTGTTTTCAATTGTTAACACTTGCTAATCCAAAATATTTTTCCTAGAAAATAGAACCTAGTGAGAATAAAGAAATATCTGAGCACTCACAAGTATTTATGGTTCCATTGCCCCATCAGGATACCTTTCAGGCTCTGCAGCTTTTTATTTATGTATCTTTTGATGGGGTGGGCAGTAAAGGAGGGAAGCCAAACCACTAGCACTTCTTGAGCCCATATTTATTCACATTGTATTTTAATTTTATTGTTTCTTTTTATACTCCAAAAATACATAATCACTTCTCAGGTGTTAAGTCTGTGTATTTTCTACTCCAGCCAATTTTTCCTGGATCGTTGCCTTTGAGCTTTGTTAAAAGGTTCAGACTTAGCTCCATATGTGAACATACCTATTCTTTGCTTCATTTCTCCAGCACTCTGCTTCCTTTAAATATATGAAGGAGGAATAAATTGACGCGAAGGCATTTATCAGCTCTTTCAGCACTAGAGCAACTTCGGAGCTCATAGAGAGAGAATAGGAGGTGCCAGTGGCATAAGGGTTTGGGGGAAGGGGGTGTAGAAAGAAATGACAGAGGAAGAGGCTCGAGGCCAAAAGTAATTAATTCTCAACTGTGCCAAAAGCCTACCTTCCTGGAAGATTGGTGGGGTGCGGTAAAGGTCAGTCCCTGTGCCACGTTCCCCTAGGTTAGAGGATGGGAGATGAGACTTTTTCAGTTTTTCACAGACACTTTTTAACAGCCTATTCTTGCTTTATTCATGGGATTTATTCATTCATTTATTGATTCTCTTTGGTAGAATGCACAAACATATTCTATAGCCATGTACCCCCTTGCTTATTTTATCTTAAAAGCATAAGAGGTGTTTCTTCCTGTGACGATGGCATAGTCAGACGCGTACCTGGGTGGAGTTTGGCATCAGAGGTGGGCATGCTCATCTCGTGGGAGAGGCAGACACCAGAGTAAGGAAGTATTCATTAACAGTGAGGGCCCTCGTCTTCTGACTAAAACTGCAGCACTGCTAGGTTAGGAGTGATGAGGGCATCTTGGTTTGCTTATTGATTTGCCAGATGTCCCATGATGTTTAGGCCTGATTAGGAAGGGAAAAAATTGGAGATGTCATTTTGATTAATATTTGAGCTCCCACAGTGTGTTTGGCACTAACAACTCTGGGCAGCTTTGTCACCCTCTTTGCTGTGAGACACAATAGGGATAATGTAATACTGATTTTTTCCTCTAAAATACACACCAGAAATAAATCTCAGCTATGAGCTCATTATTCTTTTAAGAATTGAATTTAAAATAATTCTGAGGACTTTTCTGTTCACAGTAATGGATTTACATAGCAGAAAGCTTGTGTAATGAATTTCTTGTGTGTTATTAATATAACTGTAATTATTATTATTGAAGGTCTTCTGTTAAGCTTATGGCTTGTGTTATGAAATATGCCATATTAAGCAACTGGATTTTTTTTTGTGGGAAACTGAAACCTTACTTTCTTGAAAATAAAACATTTCTTGATAAGCTAGGTCAGAAAAACTTTCTTTGGAAAGGGCTGGATAGTAAATATTTTCAGTTTCGTGGGCCGTATGATCTCTGTTGCAACTTCTGAACTCTGCCCTTGTAGCAAAGGACAAGCCATAGCTGATACATAAAGGAGTGGCTGAGGCTGTGTTCCAATAAAACTTTATGTACAAAAACAGGCAGCAGGCTGGATTTGCCCTGCAGCCATAGTTTATAGACCCCTAAGAATGATGATAGTTCTTTAAAAAGATCACTATTTTCATAATAACTCATTCCAAAACAGTTTATAATTTTTAATCCATTATACCTCACTGACTCTGTATGGTTATACACATTTTGCTAGTGAGGAAATGGAACACAGATCTTTTGACTCTGAAGCTCTCCAGGCGGGGTGTTGGGCACCTGCACTAGAATGTGTATCTCTTTCTTTTGTTCTGGTGTGATCTCCACTGTACCGAACGAGAGGAGCACCTCTTGCAGATAGGGGTCAGCTTTTTGAGACTGTCAAGCAGGGAATTAAATAAGAAAAGCTCTGAGAAGACCAAAAAATGGCTGCCAGGAAACCTGCTAATGCTCTTCTGAAGAAGAGGGTCTCTGGCTATCTGTCAGAGCTTGGCTCTCAGTTTGCACACAGTTCTCCCAGCTCTGGTCATCTGATTGCTCAGATGACAGATTAGAAACAGCAGATTACAAGTGGGGAAAGGATGAGTGGTGGGCACTCTGACAGCAGAAGTGACAGCTGACGGGAAAGGGAGGAGAGGCAAAACTATGTGTCACTGCTCAGGGCAGTTTTTCCTGTGCTCATGGGAAGATGGTTACCAAAGAAATGCTGAAATTGTTTCCCCTGTTCAGGAAGCTCTTAAATATGTCTGCATGGGTGTTGGGCAGCTGCCAGTCTACGCCCCATGATTCCTGCTGGAGAGCTGGGCTTTCTCCTTCCCAGGTAATCCTGGCTTCAGAAGAGATATTTAAAGATATGATAGGCACAGTGGATTCCAGATCTAAGGATATCTCAGAAGTCCTTGGGGCCTAGAATTCAAAGGGAACCGAAGTCTTTGGCCAATGAGTGGGTAGAACTCATGTGAGTCTATTTTTGTTCATTTCTTCCTGTTTCTGCTCAGGTAATGTGAGCTGTGCAACCTTGAGCAGGAAGCTTTATTCTTGTAGCGTGGCCAGAGGACCCAGCCTCTGGTTATGACATGGTTTCTGTGGGAAAACACATTCTGAGTTTTAAAACAACCGTCTTATAAACAGACCATTGGAACAAAGCCTATGCATACGAAATTAAGGAAGTAAGGAAGAAGATAATACGTTTCGGAGTTATTTTCACCACAGGTGTTAAATTGTCTCTCTCTTAATATCTTTTCCTTAGTGAAATTAGTAGCAGATAGTTAGAAAATTATTCAGTCTACTATGATGCTAAATAAATGAAGCATTTGTCCTTCTGTGATTTCAAAGTACATAGTCTTAAAAAGAAAATTAAAAAAATAAACTATTAGGAAAGATAAGATGAGGTTTGTCAAGTAGTAACTAATAGGCCATATTTTTATAAAATATCCAATATTTAATCTTCTATTATAGGTCTGAGTTTGTTTTAATTGTTTAGGGTGACAGATGTATAGATACATGCAGGACACTGTTTCCCAGAAATATGCAGTCCTATTTTCCCCAATAGAATAGAATTGTGTGAGTAACTTCTTACTTTGCCATACCAAAATATCACACAAGGTCACTGCATGGAGAAGTACTGTTCCAGGACACAAGTTTTATTTACTTGGTTGCCTTCTTTTATAGTATATAGTGTATAAAATGAAATTTTAAAATTCCACTAGGTACCAACTATACCATTCTCAGGGACAGTTTTGCTTGGTTTTCTCATCAAGGTCACCCTCTGTAGACATAGGGGTAAAGTCACATAGTGTCAACTGCCTTGCCAGCACTATCAGAGTATGACTTTCATTATAAGTGTGTTAAAGGTAGGTTTTGGATATGCAGCATCTGGCAGGTAATAGTCTCTCCAGTATGTCATTTTCTCAAAGGCACGTTATTTTGTTGTGGTA